GCGAATAAATCGCTTAGTGTCCATTAGGTTGACAGATGTGGATGTTAGGCGGGTGCACCAGAATCGTCTTCCAAAGTCTCATCGAAATGCTCCGCCATCAGATGTGAATTCATACTGGGACGAGATCGCCTCGTCTTTGCACAATGCCCGTAGATGTTTCCTGTGGCATGGCGGTCGCAGGCCCACTCAACCACTAGGTATCAGACTGAACGATGTCACTGCCCAAAGCTAGGAGAAATATCCCAGTTTGTCCTGAGCACACCTTGACCCGACAGATTATCAGACGTCAGATGAAACTGAGCCTGCGAGCCGACCGTGAAGTCTGGTGACAGGGAAAGCCGAAGAAATGGAAGAGGCACAGAAAGCCGGTAATATCCGAAGACTATTTCCGTTGATCCTTGTGACCGGTCCCCGGAAACATCAAGGATCGAAATGGAATTACTATCTTTCCGTTGGACCGAATTACTCGAACAACAACTGTCGTGACTACCTTTGCCAGTCATCTGGAGCCCACAGTTGACGTAGATTCCTGGAAGGTGAACGTGGCTTATGGTGGCTCGTGAAATACCTACTCGACAGCAGCAACTAGAATTCCAGCCTTGAAGGGGTTACATTCAGCCAATCTTCGCTTTCCGTCAGATGCTAGAACAACACCATACGTATAAGCGACCCATAATTCTAGTATTCTCGGATTTCCAAGGTGCATTCGACTCGGTTGATCGGTCTGTTCTTCTTGCCCACCAAGGAATGCCCCGGAAGTTTGTAAACGTAATACGTTTTTTGTATTCTCGGACTTCCGGAAGTGTGGGAGTTTACGGCGAACTTTCCAAAAACGTTCGTACACAAAGCGGTCTCTACCAGGGATGCCTTCTCTCTTCATTCTTGTTTAATTTTGTGATCGATGAAATAGTGAGCCGAACCCCGGTATTCAAATAGTCTGTGACGAAAACGTTTTCAATCTGGACTACGCAGACGCCATGGTTCTCGTTTTCGAAGAGCAAGGGAAGACGCAAGTGTTTTTGGATGACTTGACCAAAGCTACCTCGTCCTGTGGTATGTACTGTGGACCCACAAAGTATAAGGTCATGCTCCTGGATATGCAGTCACTAAACGCGCCACTCACAATTCAGAGAGACGAAGTTGTGGAGCGTTTCACGTATCTTGGAAGTTATATTAGTTCTGATTGTAGTGTGACAGATAAGGTCAACGCACGGATCTGCAAGGTCCGAGTCGCGTTTGCTAATTCGAGACACCTATGGCGTCAGTGCGGTTTATCCGTGCATCTCAAGGGACGTGTGTATCAAGCTGTAGTGCGGGCTGTTTTGTTTTATGTCTGAGACTTGGTCTGTTGGAGCAGCGAAGCTAAGACGTCTTCAGATGTTTGGCAGTCGTTCTCTCAGGACCTTAAATCGTGTGGGTTTGTGTTGAGGAATCCGCAACGATTCTATTAGAAGGCCTGTTTTTGGTTGTGCAAAGGGTATTTCCATTGAAGAATGTGTCTAGCACCAGAAGCTCGTGGGTTAAGCCATGTGCTGCCCAACCATTGTTTGCCGAAGAGAGTACTGTTTTCCGTGTCCAACTCAGAGTGGCGGAATCCGAGGGGTGGCCAACCCTTGACCTAGTAGAGGTGTATGAAAGAGATTATGAAGTGTTCGGGTGCTGTCGGTGCTACTCACCTTCCAGGATGGGGACCGCGTGGTTCCCACTGCGCCTAGTTGGATTTGCTGCAAGATATGACTACCAACCGACGTCAGTGGCGTTCTTGTCACTTTCTATCCAGATTGCCTGAATGAGTGTCTGAAGATGTGAGAACCTCGGAATGATTGTGTTAAGCTAGCACTAGGTCTCATTCCCTGTCCACATTTATTCTCTTCTTCACAATGAGACTTTCAATTAAATCATGGATGTGCAGCAGCGAAGCACCAGTTTTGAACACTGATCTCATGCTGTCGATGCTGATGATGACTATCGGGGTTGTTGCGATTGTCCCCCGCTGCAAAAACTTTCCATATCCCTTTTGCGCAGTGGAACTGAAACGTCTTCAGGTGTTTGACAATCGCTGTCTCAACCATAGCTCCTGTGGGTTGGTGTCGGCGAATCCGTAACGAGGCAGTTAGGAAGCGCGTTTCCGGCTGTGTAACGTATACTTTCATTGAAGAATGTGTCCAGCACCAGAAGCTGCGTTGGTTGGGACATGTGTTGCGTATGTCGAACCATCGTTTGCCGAAGAGAGTGCTGTTTTCCATGCCTAATTCAGGATGGCGTAAACAGACGGGTGGCAAACCCTTGACTGGGCAGAGGAGTATGAAGGAGATCACGAAACGCTTGGGTGCTGTCGGTGCTACTCGCCTTTCAGGATGGGGACCGCGTGATCCTCACTGTGCCTGGTTGGAGACACTACAAGATATGGCTGCCAACCGATGTCAGCGGCGTTCTTGTTGTCAGTTTCTGTTCAGATTGCAGATCGCCTGAGTGAATGTCTAGAGGTGTAGGTTTCTCGGAATGATTGTGTTAGTTAGCACTAATTCCCTTCCCCGTCCAATGAGGCTTTCAAATAAATCATGGTTGTACGGCAGTGAAGCATCAGTGTTGAACACTGATGTCATGCTGTTGATGATGATGTTGCTTTTGCGCTCTCTTCATTCTTTGGTGTTTGAGGGATCGTCACGCATCATTGTGGTCATTTATGGTTAGTGTAGTTTCCCTGGCACCAGTTGTGTCTTCTGATGGCAACGTGATCCACTGTTCACCGGGGTGCACTAGCGACCTCGGGCAGATGTTTTCGAAAGCCGTTGTCGTGGTCTCTCACTTTTCTCCAGTCGTCATCCCAATCCTTATTGCTTCCATCGAATTCGAGGCACATTTTAGTGGACTCAACTCGATATTGTTGAGCTACAGGGACGTTTGCAGGTGGTGAACTGAATGTCTTTGCAACCTACCTATCCCAGAGGAGAAAAAAATTATCGGTGTACTCCGATAATTTTTCTCAAAGCTCTCCAGCGGTAGCTGATTGCCGCATGGCCCAAATGAGTCCTTCAAGTCACATGGTGTGAGCGCACGTGCTGGCTAGAAGCAGGTGGTATTCAGTACATAACTGAGTAAGTCCGCATCTTCTGTGGGCTTAGCGTCAAACCCGACTGGGCCGCCAAGGTGGGCTTCATCGAGAATTAGTCGGCCAACCTGGGTATTTATATCACCTGCCAGAATCACGGTATCCGTACTTGTCGCTTACTAGGGTAACTTTGGCAAATCTCAATAAAAGCTATTTTTCTCAGCCGGACTCGAGATAGCCTCGTGGTTAGGGCGTCAGCTTACGGACTGGTAGGTTCGTGTCCTAACCCACGTGCGCCCTCTTTTTGGCATTGCAGGGTCTTACTGGTGAACGATATTTTCTCAGTCTTAGACCAGCCGTCTGTTAGGCCATATGCTGACAACAAAAAACCAACATTTACCGCTTAGAGGTGCATTGATCACGATTGCTGCACTCAAATTAACAGCACAGGAGTAACCATTTACTAGAATCGAGTTCAGTAAGGTACACTAAGCCCTGGGGCCAAGTACCACTGCTGTACCGTAGATACCGTGAAACATTACATCAGGATCATCAGACATCTGAAGCGTGAAGTGCGAGAAATCTGGGTTCGTCCCGAGCGGTTTGAGGTGTACTTAAAACCAAATTGCACGAAATTAGCGAAATACACTCATTAGCAAACAGATTAGTTTTCGCGAGACCCACCTGGAACCCTGCTGACTATCTCCTTCATGATGTTTCCAGGCAACTGAATGTGCTGCACCAGGCAGTCTCATGTTTCAGTTGCTACGATATTCGAGATATCGCGATACATGTATATTCGCAATGCATTGCTCATGTCGACGAATTTTCAGCAACCGTATGACTAGTGCATTACAAATATGCATGTATCGCGATATGTCGAATATCGTAGCAACTGAAACGTGAGGCGGCCTGGTGCAGAACATTCAGTTGCCTGGAAAAATCACAAACGAGAGATTCAGCTAGGTTCCAGGTGAGTCTCTCGCAGAACCAAATTTGTTTGCAAATTAGTCTATTTCGTTCATAAGGGTTTATTTTTATTCGTCTTACCGGACACAGGCTGAGGTGCGGAGCAACGGTTAGGTAGTTGAGAAGCGCTTGGATGAGGGAGGTGTCCGTGAATAAAAAGCCTTGCGGGTTACTTACGCCGAAGAAGGGAATTTCATTGGGATACTCAGTCGTAAGCCTTTGACTCAAAAGTGTGACCTAGGAGGCAGCGGTCATTAGGGTTGTCTTGAGAAACCTTTGCTGGAGCCATTGACTCAATGGTTTTACTCACTTGGCTGAAAGGATTCGGCTTGCACGAGGACACGGCGTAAGTCATTACTCTCTGACTCTTAATGTGGCTGCGCACAACCAATGCATTTTGAGCAGTACCACACTGGTTTCAAAAGTATTCCGACAGCGTTGAATAGTGAGTCGGTAGTCTCGGAGTGTAAGGCCAACCTCTTTCTAACCCATCAATCAATGAATGGAGTTTACGTCGCCAGTTTCTTTCCAGATTGTCTTATAGAGTGCTTGAAGGTGTAGGCACTTCAGAAAGCTTGCGATAGGCCAGCACCAGGTCTCTTCCACCACTCATTTTTTCTGCTCTTTTCATGCTTAAGCTTTAAATATAGATAAAAGTGAAGCACCTCGTGCTTACTTCGGGTGCTTTGGCAGCTAGGCACCGGAAGTGTGCTACAGCTGAACGATTTGTTTATGTTTTTATTTTAGAAAGTTAGCTTAGGTCAGTGTAACCTGAGAAATCATTGCACCATGACGGAATGACACATTTAGGTTAGGACATAGTACACGACTCTTTATCGTAAAACTGGCTCGTGTACGGAAAGTAAAGTCTTGAGAACATCTTGTGTTTAACTTGAAGGTCACCAAATGATGTTGCCTCTTGCTCTGGCTTATCAACAGCTCAACTTTCATGCTTGGAACTTGCTTTTGATTATGTTTTAGCGTGTTCAGGAAACAGCCTAATGACCACCTGTAGAAGATTGCAGAATGTCTGATGAACCTGTCGTTGTTACTTTCAAAGAACTGAAGAAGAAAAGACCACGTTTATCCGAAAATCTTCGATCCACATATGAAGAGGGTTTGGCACAGATTAAGTCACGAAAGCGTCCAAGTGATCCCCGATTCGATCCTCGAGTTCATGGTGTATGCAATCTAACGGACTGGGAATTTCTGGAGGATGACAGAAAGGCCACACGCACCGTAAGTTTGAAGTTGAGTCGTATGTTTTTTTACGTGACCTTAGATGCTCAATTCCTTTTTGTTGCCCATATCCTTATATAATCCTGATCTGCCGTTCCAGTGAATAGGTCCCCCTCCCGATCTCCTCAATTAAAACTCTGCTGACACTGCTGTACTCATCCATCAGTAATATCAGCTACCGCCTCCACAATATAACCATCAACCCTTACCTTCCGAAATCATCGGTGAACGAAACTGGCGGTTATAACCCCTGTGCGGTTTTTACAACTGAAGATGATTGCCGTTTAGGTAAAGGGATTTGATTCTTTTTACCATAGGTGAGTGTAAGTGCCATTTGAAACCGTTTTTTTTTAATGTATACAGAGTTGTTCGTTTCGTTCTATGGTTATTCTTCAGCTGTGTATGCTTTGTTTACATCGTCCTAATCCCGGCAATGGCTTACCAAGATAGAGTGAGTGCAAACTCTTGGTAATTACCTTTTCGATTGTGCGACTTTGTCTGCATCGGCTTCCATGATCATTGCTCATTCCTTTCTCGGGTTTCGTCTACTTGTTTCACACATGCGTTATGCAGACTAAGCCGCAAATCTATATTAGCTTACCTTTGGTCGTATAACCACTCAGTGAGTACTCTTCTATGAATTGGGACACTGCGCAGGTTTCGCAACCGTATTTATTCCATCAGTAAGCTCTCTGTCGGATTGAATGCAGTTTTTGGTGGTAAGAAAAGCAATCTGACGTTAACAGCGTCCAAGGCTATGTCCTGTTTTCTCGGTTCACCTGATTAGGGAGCTTTCTTAGCTATCAGTAAAAAATTCTCCTGGAAGTCCAGACTTTCTTGTCAGAGGCATGTTTCGCGCCCAATTGTGCCTGGTATAAATTGATGAGGTGCGGATGTGTCCAACTTTGTCGGGTATCAAAGGCCCAAACTTCTTCCAATTGCACTGATTGTCAGCAGAAAGTTCACTGTCCTTTGAATTTTGGTTTCAGCACAAGGATATCCTTTCATTGCCTAAGTTCCATCTGAAAAATCTCGAAAGAGAAGATTGGTCCAGCGAAGACTCCGGATATCTGTTTCCTTATAGCCACAGGCATGAGCGTCGACATTGTTTGGCACTATGACATGCTTTCTGTCTAAAATGTTAGAACTAACACTACCGCTTCTGAAACTTTCCCAAAGATCCATTGCTAGCATGAGGGTCAGTCATTCCCTGGATAATGACGTTCTTCCATTGCTTTTGTATGCACAAATGCGTCACATATAGGCATGTTTTGTTGTCCAACACCAACGAGTTGTTGGCATCCTCCTTCACTTCTGTAAATCACACTGATGCTATCTCACTGGCTTATTGTGGGGTGATCGTCTTCCTTCCCATTGTTGGTATACGTCTTTCAGTTTCAGCATATTATGCACCTCACTTTGACTGATGTCCAGTTCCAAAAGCAAAGTTGCATCGCGCAAACCTGAGAACCGTTTCATTTAAGCGTACACGTGATGCAGAATGACACCGGTGGATACGACGATGGATCAAAAGTATACGCATGCTTGTCACCCTATTTTTAATCAAGTGAATAGTACTCAGTCGCTGCCTTTTACTCGAATTCGAACTGTTTTCCTGTATAGCTCATTAGATCTGGATAAGTTTGAAGTCTTGGTTTTTGTTGGAAGTGAAATTCAAAACATCATGAGAATCAAAACTGTGAGCAGTGGAGTTCTGTGCGTCCGATATGTCAGGGCATTTGGTACAAATCAGTATCTATCATGAGTAGCTTGAAACAACTCAATGTTGCTATCAGATACTTGCATCCTCGCCCTTCACCATTGTTTTTCTCTGTGAGAACTGTTACAGGCTCTTAGGTTTCCGTGTTCACTAGGACACTGGGAAAATGAGGTTGTTTTAAACAACTTGTGTTATGCAAAGCAATCCGTAATGTGCGATTCGTTTTTTAGTCCGGTGTGCTTTCCAGACACTGATAAGTAGTAAAACATCGGGACCCGAAAGAACTCACTAGTGTGTTTGGCACCCCTAGTGAACCGGCCTGTCAATGGTGAACAAGCTACCGGACGTCCAGATTCGGTTGGTGAATGAGGATCCGTTGCTGTCTGATGTGTTTGCTCTTGACGCCGACGTTGACCTGAGGTCGGTGAGCAAACAGAAACCTGTTGTTAACTATAGGACTCATATTATTCCTGGTCCACGACAGTCAGTTTTTTTTAATGCCACATGCACTTCTCGTTCTAGGTCTTGTCCCTTATTGGATTCAGCCTCAGGCACCACTTTTATGACCAAGATCTCTGTCTCAAAATGAATGGTGAGCCATGCCCTCCCTTTAGATGAGCTCGCAAGCATTTTGCGCCCCGCACTGAGCTACGTGTTTGAATTCCACTGCCGCAAGCATCGTCAGTAGTCGTCCCTCATTACAAGTCGCTTCCCCCATTCTACAGGTCCCTAGGTTTTCGCAGTCTTGTCATCCCGAGCATTGGAATCGCTTTGAAAGGTAGTAACTGGTCACTTGAAAATGCAGGTCCGATCAGATCCAACATTTGATTGTATAATTAGCTCTCGTCCGAGTGTGACAGTATGCTTACACAGGCATTGATGAATCGGATGCTGCTACCGACGACTGTAATTGGAGAGCCAACATCCTCATGCATTCAACTTTCATCCAACTTTCAACCGCAAATCCAGTGCGGTGTTCACGCTGGCTTTCTTGTTTAGTTCCACGGTAGTGGAAGTTAGCCATAGCTTCTTCCACTGAGCCATTGAGGGCCTTGCTTAGTGTTGGAGGGGGGTGTATCCGATTGCGCTTAGGCTCTTTCACAATCAGGTTGACCCAATTTCCAAGCCATTTCAGAAGTCTCCATGCTACAGTTTCCAGGTCACAGAAGACATGCGTTCCTATTTTTAGTAGTAGACGTCACATATCGAAAAGTAGCGCCTTTTGGATGTTGCTTCTAGAAACAGGGGCTGATTTTGACATCAGAGCCTTACCCACAAGGTAGTGAGGTCCGACGTAGTCCGAAGACTCAGGGTTAGACATTCAAGGCTGCTTCATAATGTTACTACGCATAGTGGGTGATGTTTGAACAACACCGTATCCTTGATTTTTAAAAAAGTATTTTGACCAAATTAAGTAATTCGCCAAGGATTTGTGGTTTTCCGAGATAACCGTTTTTAGTCCTCAGGTTAGGTATTATCACAGCATTCCTAAGTATGGAAATGCTGGTCGTCTGGATGATACATTGTTCTCGCACCAATCGCAGTGGACGGTAAGATGTTATCCTCAGACCGCTACCTTATACGAGTTATTGTAGTACGGAGTTTCGTTATTCTTCTTGCTTGTCTCCCTGTGGCCTTCCGCACATGAGTGAATTTTCAAGAGGTTCTGTCAGTGTAGCCAGCAGGACCACTACAACACCAAAATCCGATCGTCAGAACACGGTGGCAGCTCTAGGTCGTTTGTCCCAAATACTAAGCAACCTGATAAAAAAACCACCTAAAACGCACTTATCAACGTCACACATAGCATTTCTCCTCTTCCTACATGTAATTCATTCATTTTCACTGCTACGCACGATGGTCTCGTATTTGTCTCTCAATTCGCTCATCTCTCGGTCCCCATTTAGTCAGAATCGCGTGCATATTTGAAACCTAAGTGGTGAAAACTACAAGGAAGTCTTTCACATTTCATTGCTGCGGAGGACTGAAAGTTTGAACTTAGCGCAGCGTTTTCCACCTAATAGAGTAGAGATTGGTTTCATTGTTTGACTCTTGCAGAGTTTATATTTCGAAACGCACTGGCGTTTCTTTTATTGAGTGCGTGTATGAGCCAACCTTCGCTTCAGTGGGAGGAAAGTGCATTCCTCACCCGAACAACTGGATTGCCACACCGCTCCCAAGTGATGACCAGCTATCATGAATTGTTGAAGATATTATTCAATTACCTTGATAACTGACGAAAAATCCTTCCGAAAAGACAGTGCATTTCTTCAACTACTTCATCATGAAAATCTACCTCAGCAAACTATCAAACAAGCAGTTCTGGAGGTAGCCTATATCGAATATCCAGTGTGTTCAAGTGCACTCGAAATCCTGCTTAGAACACTTTTGCATCTTGAATGGGAATGTCGCACCTGCGATTTGGGTGGATAGTTATACTGGGTTTCGGTGGCGCTAATATTGTCTCCTCTTAATGCACTCCTCAAATCACCATCAGTCCCAGATTTAGAGTTGATACAAACCACAGCACAATATGAATCACGTTTAAAAAGACAAACCTCACCCTGCTCATTTTTCTTCTCAAGAAATCAAATATTGTAGGAGCACACTCGTGATGAGAGGAGATATTAATTGGCAGGCCTGCTCACCTAAGTTGCATCTGAAGCTTTCTGGCAGCAACTATGCTCAGTTTTTCTCGGTTGCCCATGTGCTAATGCGTGCAACGACTTCACATGTAACTTGTAAGTGTTGCTTGAGGCAAGAATGACGATTTCATTGTGGTGCCTACGCTTCTGTGCTCCCTCACGAGCCCTGAATCCAAGAGCTGCAGGCCTTGCCACGCGAGCACGCCATTTATTGACCTTTTATCACTTGATTGTACCAGTAAGTCTCCTTTAGGTCAAATGGCGATCACTGACGTGAGCTTATTCCCTGTTCCGATTAGCATTCTCCACTAATAAACTGAGTAATCTGGTGTACCAAAGACGATGTCACGAGTCCCTGCTCGCCAGAGAAACCTCACAAGTGCATGAAATCTGTAGCTTGTATAGTAATACCCGTATATAGTTTAGTGCTACCTGCATTGATTCCCCATCTAGCGCGTTCTACAGTGCGCTAAACCTAAACAAGCGCCTACTTTATTAGACGGTATTGAAACGCTTCTTTCCGCTACCAGGCGAAAAACGAGAGTCCGTTCGCTTTCCATCATGCATCACCGCTACTTAAAAGTACACGTGAAGTCATCCAATTTGTGGCATTGGTAAGAGGTCAAACTACCGCGTCGCCCGATGTGGATTAAAACGTTGGTCAGTTGAGTGTTGCCGCTTTGAGTACCAGATGGCTTCCACCATTAGTAATACCAACTGTCTCTGGGGAAAATTGTATTGCCTGGGTCTGTTTGCAGGATATAGCAGTAATGGATATTCCGTGTATAAATCTGGCGTAATATGGCTGCCAAATGGTTATTGTAGATATATCTCGTGACTTATATATAGTATGTTAAGTTCACAAACTTTAGCTCTTATTTTTCGGCCCTATGGATTCATCCCACAGTGTGTTAGCCCAACACCATGTTGCAATAGAAATGTGATGAGATTGGCAGGGGAATGTCCTGTTTTCTCGGTCCTTCGAAATGGTGCAGCGACTTTCCTTTTCCATATGAATTCATTTCATTGTAAAAGTACTGAATTTCCTATCCGAGTGACATCAACTATTCATTGTTTCTGCGGTGAACAGGTGTCCCGCAAGTATGTGGTCAAATTCGACCGTAGTAGGATGGAATCTGTCTTGGTTTTGCTTTAATATTACTGTACTAGCCTATCGGGATTATGACCAGCTGCAGTTTTGGGATTGGTGGCTTAAACCTTTTCGATCTTCTCATCCTATTCACCACATTGCATCCATCCGAAGCCCTTCACCCGAGCTTCCTCATGATGGTTGTACCTATCATTCCTTCAATAACAGAAGCTACAGAAGATGCTGGAAAACAAACGACTGGACGATGAGACACGGGCCAAAGTGAAACAAGCTCTACACCTACTTCGTCAACGGGACGCATCCTACAAGGATAGGAAATTTCGTAAACAAATGATGCAAAAGTTACAATCGAAGCAAGTGGAAAATTTAGAATCCGGAAAGCCGGTAAAGTTTATGAAGCGAGGTAAGCACATCGTTTGAAGCCCTATGGTGTCATCTTCCTGGTCTTTGACTGCACATCAATATGTGTCTTTCTTTAAAAGATTTGAATGACTTAAAATTTGAGTATCCTAATGTGAGAGGAGTCGTCCAGTTCCACAGCTGGGTCTATGTTTTTTAACAGATGTAATGGTATGAACGCCCCAAACGGTCGACTAATTGCATATCGTTTATGAGGTTCCTAGGCATGACTGTAACTAAGGTGCTTCTGAAACCAACAACAAACCCTTTCTTACGGATATCATCACGATATCTGACGAAGTTCCACTGGAAACACTCTAACCCTTTCTAATTTTTTGAACAATAAAGTGTAGTGCGCTGTAGGTGGACCCACAGAGTCACAATGCATATTTTAGTTGCACTTTAGGGCCAGTGAAATAGATTCCCGTGAATGCTGTACTAAGGTGTAAGGTTCTGTTAGAATATTGTCGACAAATGACCCAAACAAACTTTTAGTCAGAAACTACAACAACAGCCACAACAACCCCCCCATGACTGGAACATATCGTCTGTTCATACACCTAGCGCTAAATCTCAGCCTCCAACTCCTACCATTCCTGGAGGTTAGTGGATGTCATCCCACGCACTGTATGGAGGACAACCATCATCACTAATTCCTTTCGCAAACACGCCCCAAAGGTTTTGAGCTAGACATAAATCTGCAGACCTGTGTGGGCCAATCCAAGGTTTTTCATGCCACAGAGCCATCACCACATATTGGTCGCATTGATTATCTCGATATACAGGAAAGCTAAAAAGTTTCCAGAAGGAAACTACTCAAATGGTTGCTGAAAACTCGTCGATAGCCCACAACCGGTTTCGCCCCTGGGGTTTATCAAGTAGGCACAGTCCCCGAGTTTCCATCAACGTCATGTTTCACTGTACGAAATTCGTGAATGACATTCAAACGTCGTATCAACTGGAACATGAGTCAGCCTTTGTGCAGCACATTCAGTTGAAGAATATCATAAACGGGACACTCAGCTGCGATCCAGTCTGACCTCACGTTAAAACCAAATTGGTGGTCAAAGGCTAGAATCTTTTTGATGCCTCGATGCATTAATCGGCTGTCTGCTCTACCTGAGTTTTCTAGTAAAAAATCACAAACGGTTACAGAGCAGCCATCGAAAACCCGACAATATAAGTCTGTCTTTTCCGTTTGTGTCATGCTAGTAGCGCGTTTTTCCCCAGGGCACCGTAAAGCAAACCCTCCTCCTCATCAAATATCAGCTCGTTCCACTCAGATTTCTAGGAAATATGGTTCTTTGAACATGACCGTCATTCATCCGAGGAACTTATGCCTTTATGTATTTTGAATGTGCTTGCTTAAGCAAATTCTCTGTCCCGCACAATAACATTCAATCCGACGAATATCTGAAGCTTTGGAACACAGATGATTTGAGACGGCACAAAATGCGCCGTGAAAATCCTGGTTCTATGCTACTTCTTGGACTCATATCAGGCTGGATTGCTGGGCAAGCTACGAATAACTTTAGTAATTCGTATTCCCTCACTCATCTTGAGGATACCCAGTCACGAGGTTTCATAAGTTTCTGTTTGATTGTGCTTGTCCGCGTGCCTCGCGTCGATTTTGGCATATGACAGTGCCCCCAATGCGCATCGCATTTGAGTGATGCTGCTTATACTGCGGAAGCCACCGAGAATCCGCTTGGCGGCGGAAAGGTGTGGGCTACACGCAAGGCTCAGAGCCGTTCACATAAATGAGCAACTGAGTTCTTGAAACCCGTATTCCGGTGAACGCCGTGGCACCCTTTCCGGACAGAGTTATCGCGGGATACTTCTCGATCTCATCGTTTGACGACACTACCGATAGGAGTATCTGCTGTTCTTTAGGAATAGCTGTTGACGGATTCCCAGAGGTAAGATGAATGACTGCCACAAAACGTCGCACAACCTTTGAGCCCTCTCTCCTTAAGTACAATCCCAAAATGTTGGCAGAATACGTTCATAATTTATCTTATTTGTTTATAGCGGAACTTCGGGAGCAAATCCGACAAGAACGTCTGAAGAAAATGACCAGAAAACAACGTGAAAAGTACCTCTCCCGACAACACGAAAAACGGCCACATTCAACAACACTTTTGGACGAATGAAAACGGCATTGACTAAGTTTGTACATATTTTTCGGAATACACATCATGCTTTTTCTTTGTGACGGAACTCGTACACTGCATCCTATGTTCAGTCATACTTGTGCTTGGCAGTTTGGCAGAGCTCCGTGTTTTTAATCTTATGATGATTCCTCTTTCTAGTCTATTGGGATAGCGACCCTTGTCGGCTCTGGTCGCTTCGATATTCCCATAGATGAAGCCAGCCTATGCTGAGAAGATTAGAACTACTGTACGGCCGTTTTATCCTTATTCGGGAATCAACAGCGTGCACCTCACAAAACTCCAAGGCATTCCGAACCCGTGACCTCCAGACTAATAGTTTGAAGACAACCTTTGGGTCGCAAATGACTGATGAACCCGCGCTTGGATTAATGGGAAGCTTCTTTTGTTGTAGTAGGTTTAACTGCAGGAGCAAAGCGGATTATGCTGGTCTGCCCGAGTAATTGAAAACTAACGATTAACTCATTAGTTGGTACGTGACTGTTAAGGGGTGAACCTATATTTTGGTATATAATCGAAACATTGAAACCCACGCCTGCCTTTTTTTCACTGGGTCTGTCTCGTTCTACTACGGAGATTACGGGGCGAAACTCTGTCATGAATACCGGTAGCAAATTACATCACAACTGGTCGTAGAGCTAGCAGTGACATTCGCATTCTGTGTTTGCGGAATGTTCGTGCGTTTACGCAGCGCTGATTATTGTATTCCCAATCCTCTTCTGTCTGTTCTAATTGTTCCTTTAGGCCCATCATTCGAGTTTCATACGATTCCTTTTTATTCAGATTAGTTCAAACCAATATCTCTGGAACTTCAGCCAGCTGTGCGAGTCGCACAGGGTGTTCACTAGTGGCATCGAGTCTTCGGCTACAGGTTTGTTAGGTATACACATGACGAATCACCTGCGAATTTCAGGTACATATAGAGTAGTGGCGTTTTATGCAGTTTATTTACTGACACAACCGATGGAGCGGATGTCTGCCGGTTAGATCCTTTTTCCTAGTGTTAGTATTTCAGTCGGAATTATTTGTCGGTTGAGATTTTGTGAAGCCAAGGCGGAGCTGAGGAGCATCGTACAGTTGTTTCATCTTTCTTGGGCATCGTCAACAGTGTGCGCCTTACGAATCTATTGGGCGATTCGAACTGGCAACCTCACGTTAGGAAGTGGACACTGAATTCGAACTGGCAACCTCACGTTTAGTAAGTGGACACTGAGCCGCTTGGCCAAAAGCCGATTATTCTTCAGTTTATTCTCCAGCTGGTTGGGTGTTTTAGTATAAAATGGCGCCACTTAGAGGACGAAGTTTGTATTCAGATTTGAAAATCTTCACACACTCCCAGAATCAAGTGCATTTGAACCCACCAATAAGGTCTGATCAGGGATAACAACGGAGGTACCAGGGCGTTGAAGGACGAATTAGTTCACCACCATTGTCCTCTCACTGATGTGACATGCAGTCTGTAGGTGGCCTGAAGATCAGCACACCGTCCGACCAGTCAATGCGACGCTAAATGTGTGAATTTTATTCAGTTCAACAATTGGCCTAGGGTTTAAGCTGCAGTATGTTACTTAGCATTCAATGAGGTAACTGGATGAACATTCCCAACGTTACCACATACACGTTCCTTCGTTGAAAAATCTCCAGGAATCTGATACTCGTTGGTAGTCCATAAATGTTTCTAACTCTTAACGATCCTCACGGTGGACCCAGCAATCAGTAAGTTGTGGATACGGAATTTTATCAGTCAAAATTAGCCTCAGACGGACGTGGTCCTGAAAAAAAGCCATCCAAGCTGATTGAACCATACATGCACGATTGAGGTCGATAGCTGCGCTGCGTCATGCTAGGAGTAGACCCGAAAATTAGCAGCCAAATCTGGCTACGTTCTGATGAGCCTCAATAGATAGGAAACCCACAGCGGATTACTTTTCGAGAACTAGCCAAATCTACCAGACTCGGTCGGCCCAACACAAACCAGGAGGCGGATTATTTTCCACTTCCAATCTGCTGGTGCGAGTGGTGAGAAGACCATGTGTACGATTCGCCGTTGTCATTCAGACGGCACTTAATTCGTGGCATATGAACAGTCGCCCAAATTTTTTTTCCGGGGAGGATATATTTAATCGCAACAGAAGAATGGAGATGGCCAATCCGAACAGGAATAGGACTCTACAAGGCCAGTTACAGATGCGTTTCAAGATGTGGACCCTATACAGAGTAAATTGAATACTAGATGACCAGATGGATAAAGAACGAACATTCAGTGTTTTCAATAAACAATTGATAGAACTAATTGAAAAATCATATTTTTGAGAGTACAGACAAATGAACGGATTGCCTGCTTGAGGAAAGGACTCATTCTCTTGGAGCTATAATACATGCCTATATTCTCTGCTTCTTATGTGGGCCGAATGCAAGGTCAACGCTCTGCTGGGTCATCAATCACGACATCGACAGTGCCACAGGAAACGTGCGGAGATGAACTAGTACTGGTGAAGAGTGCCAAACTGCGAGGAACCTCCAAAATCGGATAGCTTTCGTGCATTCATTTAAGCCATTACTTAGGCTTCATACACCGTCTTCATACGGCCTTCCAACGAAGATCATAATTTTCAGCTAAACTAGACTATCTTCCTGTAGTGGTCTTTGATTTACTCTATTCGGTCACTAGTCATTTTGTTTTTATGATCGTTAACTGCATTTTCGAGTGTATAGTACAAAACTTCAGAAAATGGATATCTTGGTTGAGCGAGATGGAAAGGCTACGTATCACCGGTAAAACTTTGGGACGGTCGAGTCCGTGTCTTTATAATCCTACCGGTCATTTCTGTAAGAAACTAACGTTCTTTCAGTACCTATGCCACCACTGGAAATCTAATTTAGCCTGCTGCTAAAAGAACGCAACGAGGAATCCGAACATGATACTAATGAGGATGAAAGTCAGTCGTACTGGAATCAGAACACTGCAAAAGCACGGTAAAGCCATATCATCCCTGTTGGAAACATTCAACATTGAGAATCGCACGAATCTCTAGGATGATTCGAACCCACCACACCCCACTCTCCTGATAGTTGAACACCAAAATACTCATTTGAGAGTGGTTAGTCAGTATTGTGACCAACTCGGGCTTAAACAAGATGCAGAGCCACAAGGATGAAAGAGTGGTTTCTAGCTCTTCACGGTAGATCGAATTCAAATGCAAATATGAAAATTTCCTCTAATTGCGGACTGCACATGTAGTCAGTTTTATTCATTACGGGCGACTGTTAAATCAGACCGAACGTTAAAGTCATTCAAACACGAGAGATTCAGTTTAATCAGTAATTAGTTAGGCTGAACCCCTGTTCAGGTCTAAGGATATTCTCACTGAAGGGCAACCACTGGGTGCTACAGCGTCCATGTGATGTCCCATGTCTAGTAACTGGGCTGGAAAGGCATTAAAGACAAGTCATCGTCCTTTTCAGAAATTAGTTTGTGCTCAGAAGTCCGTTTGCTTAGCTGCTACGTAGAGGTATACGAAAGTCAACCTTAATTCACGCTGTTGCTCTGAAAAGGTGTCTCACCTACACCTGATACCGCTACACGGAGAAAGGACCATCGCAGTCATAGTCCTCTAAAAACACTCTAAAGGAAACGAAGGAACACAAGAGTCGAACAACCTGAGTAAGAATTTGGAGCGATGATACAAACCCACGGTCGAGTATGGTGTTGTTGAAATTGCTGGCTTTTTGCAGACAAAGGACCCAGCTGGAGTGAATGAAAGATGGTCCGCAATAAAGCCATCCAATCGGCCCAGTGAAACCAATAGCACGAGTGCTATATTTCCGTGCACTATGCGTTCTTCATCAACTGGCGGTGTAATTTTGAAAGCTTAAAAGCCAAATCACATTTGCAAAACCTGGACAGAATACCCTCTGATAGGATCGTGCAGCCAAATGGGGCACTTAGGGAAAAGCAACACGCCCACCTCTCTAGTACGTCTGAGTTCACTTGAATCTTTACATAATGAAGAGTCCCAGACAATTTTGGGTCGGAGGTCGGCAAACAAATGAACTACGCACCTATACCTTGCGAAGTGAACCCTCTAAAAATTCGTTCAATGTGTAGACCGCAGGGAAGTCATATTCTACTTAGCTTTACTTTCTAAGAGTACTGAAGTGCGGCGAATCGCGCAAAGCTGATGCTTCCAGAATGCCCATAAACTCGCACTACTTTGTTCGACATTGCATGTGAATCCCATTTCACAAAATCTCGCACTCAGCTAATTAAGAGGACCGTATCGGAACAATATAGCCGAGTTGATTACTCCGTTTTCCTAGATCGCATTCTCATTTCCTTGGAAATACACATTAATTTGCATCGTTGTCCATGTGTTTGATTTTCTTTTTTACTGACCCCACGACTCCAATCAGTTTATGTTGGATAGTGTGTAGATTGCTAGCTGTTTCAAACCGGGCAGGGCTAAATACTAAACAATAAGTCCTCATAATCATCAACAAAGACAGCAATTGTTATCACTGACGCTTTACTGCCCTACAGTCATAAGGTTCGTCTAATTATATTTAAAGCCCCAGACTGGAGAAAAAAGAGTGGGTGAGGGAGGGGACCTGGTGCTGGCCTATGTCAAACATTCTGAGGTACTTACACCAACCGCTCAATCAGACAATCGGGAAGGAAACTAGCACGAACACCACTGACATCGATTAGCCGCCATTTCTCGCAATATCCCCAGCCGAGCACAGGCGAAATCACGGGGACCCCATCCTGGAAGGCGTACAACACCCTAACTCTTCGAGATTTCTTTCACGCCTTTCTGCCAAGTCATGCGCTGTCCACTCGGCGGTTCGCGCCATGCTGATGGAGGCACGGAGAACAACACTCGTCTCGGTAGACGGTGTTTCGGCATGCGTAGCACATAACCGAGCCATCGTAGTCGGTGATGCTGGATGTTTTCCCGGATTGAAGTACCTGCAGCACAACCAAACACCCGTTCTCTAATCACATCTTTACTAACACGCTGACGCCATCCGGAACCAGTCACGCTTCTGAGGCATCGGTGATCGAAAACCTGGAGACGCCTCATAACATCTGTCCGCAGAGGCCATGTCTCTCACCCATACAACAACACATGCCTTACTGTATCTTGGTACATGTGACCCTTAAGATCTTGTGAGATGTTTTTTAACGCCACAAGTGACGCAAATTAGCAAACGTGATTCGAGTCTTCAAGATTCTTGTACTAACTTCATCAGACACACTTCCGTCAGAGTTAATACAACTACCGGGAAATGTAAAATTTTCCAAAATATCATAATACCCAAACTCCGTTGAGTTGCTGGGATACAGACCTGAAGAAATACGTTGGTCTATTCCAGAGGTCCATCTGCAAAGAAAGATCTCGAACAGGCGGTCAGGTTTCTCCGGCCCCATAAGTTTGCAGAGAGGGATTTGATAAAAGGCACAAAGCATCGACAAACAGCGTACTAGCTCGTATTGGGATTTTCTGAGGAAAGCTTTTCAGAATCATAGTTTATTTATTGTATTCTTTTGACGATTACGCTCGGAATGCTTCCACAAATTATTTTTCGAAAATCCGCAAACGAGATTGTTATCCTGAGAGTTGCTTACCCGTATGAGTAAGTAATGATTCCCGCTCCCTTGAACTTTCCTAGTTGGCCAAAGTATTTTGCCTCCGAATTAGTTTCATCTTTGAAAATATCTGTCCAGAATTTGATCCCCCAACCCTCCGACCCCCCCAGTCGCGCCCTCAATGGCGCTCATGCATCAAAGCTATTGCCTTCAATGCATAGCTCCTTTCCACCCTCCGCCTGACAACCCACTGGCAGTGCTGGATTTATGCACCAATTTACCAGCTCGCGCGTGCAATGCGCAGCTACCTACCCCCTCCCCCAAATCATCGGTGAACGAAACTGTGGCAGCTACAACCAGTGTACGACCAGTACGCGGTTCTTACAGCTGACAATGATGATGATGATGATGAGAATTTGATCCAGAAAAGCAAAAATGGCTTTCGGTATGAAGTGGGGAGACTGAAGATACAGTGTAACTTTTTTCTACAGCGCTGAGTATATCAATGCTATTAGACCAGGGAATAAGGTCTATCGACTTTTTTCTTGTTAATCGCTGTGCTAAGTATGCCGTGATTTTTCGAGAACCCTTGACGGTGGGTAGTAAGCTGAGCATCATAACTTCAGGCCACGATTGTGCCCCAGGTTACAAATCAGAATAAATTGCTTCTGAAACTCGAGGAGCAATAGCCTCCCAGAAGCCAGCGATTTTCCGGTTTCGACAGCACTCCATTATTCCTACACTACCTTTCAGAACACTTCCACGATAGTTGACGGGCTCCCTGGTAGGAACCAGTTTTATGAAGTTTCGCTTCAACCACAATCTTGGAGCCAGATCTAGCCCAGATGAACATTAAAGACGTAGTTTTAAACTTTTTTGAAAAAGTTAATATGTACATCTGAGAGCACGAAGAGGGTACACAAAGTTTCCTCACCCAAAGTTCGACTAGCCCGATTCACTGTCCGTATTCTTCAGTTGTCCAGACTCTAAAAAGACAGGACAATTCACTTCTTTGGAAAGCTTACTTGCGATTCGTTTCGCCTTCTTTTTCTGTCGTTTCAGTCGCTTTTTCGCTGTCTTGGCCTCAGCTGTCTCATCAAGCATGCGCTGTCTTTCCTGAAATTCTTTGTTGAGTTTCTCCTGGTGAAATTATCAAGGTATACAAGCAGTCTGCGTTACTTCTTCAGCTGTCTTCTCAATGTACTCCAGACGCGCATACTCGCGACGACGGATTCCACGGTATATGTGGAAGTCACCGCTACCAACGCCAGCAGCAGACCCTGGTGAAACAAATGAAAAACAGCAAACAGAATCATGCACATACCCCAAACATTGCGAACGAATTCTGGGGGCGGTTTTAACTCTTTTGACTTGAGCAGTTCCGGGGAAACAATAGCTTCCTCCTACAGGAGCATATGTAACAGTAGTCAGATATACTTACTGGGTGCGCATGATATCTTTCGATGTCCCGACGGACGAAATCATAAATACCCATCTTGCGATATTCGCCCCTCTTTATTCCTTCCGGATCCTTCTCGTTCAGGCTTTCATCTTCATCTGGCTTCTTATAAAAAGCCATTGTCTAAAAAGTGGTGAAGCAAGCAGTGTGAAATGGATGCGCAAGGCAGTGTAGCCAAACACTGCGAATAGTGGAAAGGTAGTGCCAAATTGTTCGTATTGCGCACTTTCTGTTGTATTACCAGATGACTCGTGATGAGCCGGCGATTATCAGGTGATCAGAAGACAAACTGATCAAAAGCACAGTGTGCTTTCAAATGGAAAAAACAACTGCACTCAGACACTGGCTCGCCAAGAACCCACCTAGTGACATGGGAACATGTGCCCTGCCAGTATGAACAATTTCCGGTGAGCAGATCAGTGGTCACCCATGGCCATCATTACTCTCTCTCTCTCTCTCTCTCTCTCTATATATATATATATATATATATATATATATATATATATATATATATAGCAACAGGACTAGGAACCCTTAACAGCTCCATTCTGCTTGGTTGTTGGTCTGTTCGCCGAGCTTGGCAGTTGGAGCGCACCCGAGCTACCTACATTCCACAACATTGCTAACTCAGTTCTGCAAACGCAGTCAATCTGTGCTGACAAGTTGAGGCTATTTCATCCTCAAATCTCGAGGGCAACTCGAACCATCTGTTGGATCAGAGTTCGCTGATCCGCAGCAATTAACTTCCGTGATTGTCAGCAAATGGGCGGTGTATGGGACCGACTCCAGCAGACTGCGTCTCCGAATGGTGACAAGTACTGTCAAGTGCACCTTGAAACCGGGACTGATTGTGTTGCAGATGGAAAGAAAAGTGCCTACAACTACTCAAGTTTTCTTCAGTGAGAAAACTGAAACCCGTTCAGTGCTTATTCGTGGGAGCAAATTTCTATCCTGAGATCCCTGAACACAAATAATGAATAGTTCCCCATCATGAGACTTCTGAAAAGTTGGTACTTCTGCTTCGCCGTCAGTCCGTCTTAACATTGGTTCGGGGAACAACGTTAGTGAGAAAGCACGCCAGTATATTTAGTTTTTAGAAATGGCTACGTCGCACTAGGACCATCATCTAATTCACATTTGCAACTAATAAATAATAGGTGATTACGGTACAGTAAACCAATATCTATTTCGAAAACACGACCTTACATGACGTAGTCTGGTGCTAACCAAAAGACAGTTCCCTTCCCTATAGAGCTCATACATGCGGTGAAACGAGCGAGATCCAAGGAGTGATCGCTAGGGGGAAACACAATTTACCTACATTTCAACTGCCTGTGAGTACTCCTATTGTTTCCAGCACAAAAACAGAGTGCTAGTCATCAAGCCGTTACTTGGTTTTTAATTTGGACCTTTTTAATCCTAAACCGAATCTTGATAACATTACTTAATTATAATGAATTTTAATAATTTCCAACAGCAGCTCGAAATCTCTACTCAATGGAGGTACTTCATTGTTGACTTAAGTTGGCTGGGATAACTAAGTGTCTAGTGCCTTTGGCCGGGAAAGGCGTTGAATTCGAATCTCTCTTATCAGAGTTTATCAGCAGTGCAGATGCCCCCGGCCATTTAACCTACCACCATTACCGCACTGGCGAAAACACGAGGACTTTACAACAAACCCTGCAATGAACAAAAGTAGCCAAAACTGTCCGACAGAATAAAAGTCCTCGTTGCTCTACCTTGCTGTGTAATCCTTGTAGCCGGGTCATTGCTCGGAAGTAGCAGGGTAGTTGCTATATTGTTAAAAAGATTCACAAATCTATTATGACTGCCTCCTGGAATCCTGATCAGGGCAAATGGCAGTTGTCTATGCAACTGATTTGACTGGTAGGGCTTTCATACTTCGTTGCCAACTCAAGGACTGACCGCCGCTGGGTCGTGTTCACCCAATTCACAGCTGGACGGAAACCGCTTTGCGAGGCAACGGTCCTCTGATATGGGAAACAGACGGCCCAACCGACGTAACCCATAATGTGTGATCAGGTGACCTATCGAGGGAGAGTTACATTTCTTGAAAACCATTGTGGCGTGAACCGGTATTACTGATCTGATGTTTTCAGCACATCCACCCAAGCAGAAATTCTTCCAAAATCTACACACAGTGGTCACGTCTCTGGTTAAGATAACAGGACAGATATAACGGCAGCAGTGTACATTCTACCTTTGACAGCAAAACTGATGTCACGTCGGTTCCACGGATGCCGGAGTTTAACCACCTCAATCCAGAGGTGATTTTATTGTCACACTTCACTGGGACTAATGAAGCTGCCCAGATAGAACTTATCTACTTCACAGATCTGTCAATCTACAAGCATTCGGTTTGGTCCGACCCAGTCTTTTAGTAGCATTTTACGCTTCGCAGATGTGAGGCTGATGACGAACCGTTCAGCAGAATCACTGTTATTTAAAATGGCCTGCACGCCAAAAGGGTTTTATTTAAAAGAAACAGTGGCAACATGCTCAATGTCTGAGCAGACATCCACGAAAATATCAACCCCCGAGGTGTTAGAGGCAGGTAGAGAGGACAAACAGCACGTCGATTATGAACTTGAACAGGGAGGGCGACAGAGAACGCACTTACGTAACGCCACTGGGTGTGGTGTAATTCAAGCAACAGTTTACTGTCCATAAAAGGAGCTCTTATGAAAGACAAACTTAAAAGGGAAGCCTTCACTCGCCAGACAATCGTGGTTTCCGACGATCACTGGATTCATATAGAAAAACAACCACTGAAGTTCGTCGGAATGATTTGCGCTCACATGAAAAACTGAAGATATTATCTGTGCGACGCCAGCCAAGGCGAAACCCAGCTTGATTCTCATGAACTTGAAATCCCCTACCATGGATCAACTTGCGTAAGGCAATGCCAGGCAGCGATTTGGAAGCTTTTATTTGTAGAGCTACGCCCCAGCTTACGATGTTCTCGCAGCCTATTTGAATATAAAAATTCGTTCAGTTGCAACACCCTATCGGTACTTAACTGCCGCGCCACCAGAAGGAGGCACGAAGGCCTGGATACTACCACGTTACCCAAGGCAATCGAGAGGCAGAGGTCAGATTCGAACCACGGACCTTCCGGTCAGTAAATTCGCGCTCTAAACACTAAGCCACATGAAGTACACTCGTGCGAGATGGCCCTAGTGGTTAGCGCCCGAATTTACTGACCAGAAGGTCCGTGGTTCGAATCCGACCTCCGCCACTCGACTTCCCCTGTCTAGGCTTGGGCAACCAGGCAGTATCGCAGCCCTCGTGCTTCCTTCGGGTGGTATATCAGCTAGATACCGGAAGGGTGCTACAGCTGAACGCTCCTCCTCCTCCGTGCTTAAACAGTAAGAATTGTGTTTTCATCCCAGATACGTAATAGTGAAACCATCAGGTTAAAAACACAGGGCCAGCTATGTTCTTTCAAAAGTACAGGATGCGAACCGCCTGGACCGGGTGCTTCGTCGCATTGACGCGATGAAGTTTCCATTGTCGACGGGGAACTGGTATCGAAGTTTCGTTCGCGTCCACATGGTCCTTCCATAGATTTAGATAACGGGAACAGCTGGACTATCCTTCCAGGTCCAACGTAATGTTCGAGACCACGTTCCTGTGAATTAACTGTTACGTTATTTTTGGAAACCGATTCAGTCGCCCTTCTCGAATAACTTGGTTGAATTGACCGGTGCGGCTGTTTTCTGCAAAATTTTCCCCCATTCCTCGGGCATTCGCAAACCACCAGCGGTCTCTGTCAATCCTTGGGGTCTTCACGACTCGAAGCATAGGGGTTTGCGCACACAACTGTTTGTTGCTGGTAAGGTTTTATCGGCACCAACAGGAGCTTCTGACCCAGTTATTCACTGAGGAGCACAAGCAACCTCAGGCAGATGGTTTCAAAACCCGTGATCACGGTTTCTTGCACCTTCCTCCAATTCCTATCTAAACCACCATTACAACCATGGTACTCGTTAAGTTCTATATATTCAGGCAACTCAGTTCGATATCTTGATCTTCAGATGCGCTTTTCAGCTGTTGGCTGGTACGACCTTGTCGTTTATCGTATTACACAGAGAAAGCGAATTCATATGCGCGATTGCATAGTGACTTGGTCAGAGTCAAGTTGCGTGCTCCAAAATGAAAACTTACACTAAATCTCTCTAACTCTAGCTTAACGCTGCATGCTTTAGTTGAGTTCACAGCTGATATGCAGATGGTCGTCTACGGGTAACACGGTAGGGCCATTCGTGCTGACCAGGAACACATAAAATCAACCGCGTGACCGAAGTTCAGTTCATGAAAACATTTCACGATTAATTGGTCTGGGGCATTGCCAGGGAATCACACTCAAACAGGATGATCAGTGTCAGCAATTAGGTACTTATGAAATAGGTTTCAGGTGAAGAACATGGTTCTTTATTCAAAGAATGTATCCAGCAATACAAACTCCTTTGGCCGGGTCATGCACGTGACATTACGAGCGTTACGCCTGTCGTGATCAGCGCTGGTTTTCGTACCCAGTTTTAAGTGACAAACTGAAGGGTGGACAGAATTCTGCGCGGCAAAAGGGAATGGAAGATGTGAAAGTTTCGGGTGCTGTTGGTGATATTCGCCTGCCATGATGGGGTCCATGCAACCCACTGTGCCCGGCTGAACTACACGGCGGCTAACCGGTCTCTGTTTCAATCGAGATTGCTGGATTATTGTTAGAGACGTATGAATCTCGGGTTTCTGTCGTACGGTGGCCCGAATTCGCAGTCTGATACGAGGAGCACCGCACCAAGACCGCCTACCTGATCGCAGCTATGCGCAGCAACGCCCAAGAAGCTTAACCCGAACTTGATTGGTCGGTCGCCGTCCAGCATCCAGCTAAGCTCTGGATGACCCAAAATGTGGACCCAATAGCCTATCATGATTTTGTATCCGCTAGTTGTCAGTTGCGGATGCCACCTCCAGGATGCGTTCGATATTCCAGGATGTTTTTAGTTTTCAGCTGCGCGATTCGCAAAAGTATATGTAAAGAATGGCAAGTGCGAAAAATCTGGTCGAAAAGCCATTTGTGTTAAGTATGTTCGCATTCA